ATCCCATTATTACAGCGTTATTACTGACCTGCTGCTATTTTTATTTCTGATGCTGCTGTTGTTATTAGTAGAGAGTCAGATACGTGCTCCAGCCAAACCACGTTCACTCCGCCTTAATACATCTGTTCCTTTTTTTTTGTCTCGTTTAGTGTAGTTACATGTTTGTTTCTTGTCTTGTAAGTTGATTATTGTAATCTCGTGTTGAGCGCCATGGGCCTTGAGAAACGGCATTTCGTTCATTTGTGTGCTCGATATGTGGATGAATGACAAACGAACTTGAACTAGCAGCAAAAAATTCATAATCGTCCAAGTCCGCATCGCGATGCATCTAAAACTCTATTACCTTCCACACCCCTATAAGCTACTTACATTCAGTATCAACTAGAGCTGAAATGGGGATTGATCAGCAGAAAATAATTTAACAGATTGTTGCTGCGTGTGCTGTGTGTTATAATCTCTTGTTGCTTGCCAGGCCAGTGGATAGATTATTTGCTACGTCGGCATTCACTAGAAAGAAAGCTTTTATAGACAAGTTTGTTTAAAGTATTGCAGGAGTTAAAAGCACCCTGCAGAGTTTTATTTCCGTTTCCTTTCACTGTTTCTCACCATTGTGTGTATCTTTGAGGTCTCATGCTGAGTGCATTCCCTTCCTCATGAAGCTTTTAAAACTCCCTTTTAAAATGGCTTTAATCGAGCAGAGTCTTGCTTTGCTTCTGTGCTACTAGAGGTCAAAAACTCCACAGGGTACTTTTTTAATTAAAATAGGTGTCTTTAAAATGAATAGTGATACATGTAAAGTCCACTAACAGTAGTACAGTTATTTATGTATTTGTTGTTTCTCTTCCAGATGATTCCTCTGGATTCCTTTGTCGGGCAGAGTGCAGACGGCAAGATGGTGCCCATCATCCCGGGAGGAAACAGCATCCCTCTCACTTTCTCCAACAGGAAGGAATACGTGGAACGAGCTATTGAGTACAGGCTGCATGAAATCGATCGACAGGTACGGGTAAAACTCTGATCCGGTGTTAGAGCCTGGAGGTGACCGAGTGTAACGACACGTCTGTTTTAAGAGTGTGTCATGTTCACTCATCTGCCTGAAGGATTCAGGATCAGCGCAGATACAGAAAGTGATTTTGGAGTATCGTGTTTCACGGTCTCATTATGAGGTAACAAAGTTAATCTGACCCTGACAGACTGAAGCAGGCGGAAAACAGCTCTTCAGCTTTAGATATCCTCTTCTTGTTGTAGTTTAGATAAGTGGAATGTTTTTTAATTTACAGAAATCTCACTGGTTTAAAGGGTCGGTTCACCCCGATTAGAAAAGCACTTATTTCTCACTTAACCTCTGAAGTGTTATCTGACCATGCAGATAGTTTAAGTTTCATTTTGGAGGCAAATATAATCTTATTTGTGGTGCTGAAAGCGTTCATTTCCAAAACTACCAGACACAAACACAAGACGGGAGGGTAGCGGATGCAAAAAGAATTCAGCAGCAGCTGCTCAAAGCTCTGAAAAATTCAACAGCAAATAGTTTCTCCTGAAACAAATAATAGTAATTATCCACAATCTTTGATCATAAACCCAGAGTATATCTATAAATGGTGATGAAACAACAACTAAAGTCAACCAATTTATTTAATGTTTTTCCAGCAACCCAAAATCAAATAATAGAAAATAGAAAAACTAATTTCCCGAACATTTTATTGTTGTTGTTTTATTTAGGTTTAATGGACACGTAATATGTTTTATACTTTCTGTGAATACAATCCAATTAATCTTATTTCCATCCTGTACAGATCCTGTACAGACACCTTATTTTGAAAACCGGACGTTGTCACATGTGTTTCCTCCTCGCGCTAAATTCATCCAGTCCGACCCGGTTTGATAAATAATGTTGTATGTGGTTCTCGTCCGGCGTAACATGAAGACTTCACAGCCTCTCTTCATACTAAAGAGACAAACTGAATAAAGATAAAGTCTCTAACCTGCCTGTCAGCTCGCTCTGGGATGCTTCACTTACCGTAAAGGCTGGAATACGTGTGCTCTCCAAATGTAGGCGCGGCTAGCCTAATCACCTTCTCACAAACTAGTGACAGAAACAGACCGTTACCGTAGTTACCTCAAAATAAAAGTGGTTGTTTCTACTCGGCTGCCTTGTTTGGTGGAGACGGATGTTTCTCTCTGCATGGCTGCGTAGTGATGACCTTGATCTTTTTGTACATCGGGTGAAACAGCCCTTTAATGAATGATGACGATGCAGACATGAAGCCCCTCTCCTGTCGCTCCTCCTCTCAGGTGGCGGCGGTGCGTGAGGGCATGTCGTGGATCGTGCCGGTGCCGCTGCTCTCCCTGCTGACGGCCAAGCAGCTGGAGCAGATGGTGTGCGGCATGCCCGAGATCTGCTGCGACGTGCTGAAGAAGGTGGTGCGCTACAGGGAGGTGGACGAGCAGCACTCGCTGGTGCAGTGGTTCTGGCAGACCCTGGAGGAGTTCTCCAACGAGGAGCGGGTCCTCTTCATGCGCTTCGTCTCCGGACGCTCGAGGCTGCCCGCCAACACGGCCGACATCTCTCAGAGGTTTCAGATCATGAAGGTGGACAGGGTGAGTGGATCGGGACCGGTGAGATGACGCTTTGTCAGGAGTTATGTCCAGACATTTAAGGATAGCTCCAGTATTTTACACTTCAGGGGATATTTTAGGCACTGAACAGTGAAATTAACCTTTTCCTTAGTTACTAGAGCAGCGGTTCTCAACTTTGTCATGTCAGGGACCCCTAAACTGACACAAATAAGACCATGGACCCCAAATTGGATAAGATTTGGTCCCAGAGTCTGATGAATTTTTGCTTTTTAGATGTTTTATTGATGAAAATGCCAAAGACCAAACTAATCATGTATTCTGTCATTGTGTTACTTATGGATGGAATTACAGTGAAAATAAATTACTCCCCTTCTTGCTGACCCGACTTTGAGAACTGCTGTGCTAGAGGACTGGACTGAGGTTCTGTGCAGGCAAGATAGGACAGTATAGAGGCAGACAGGAAACAAAGAGAGAGAGAGAGGGTGCAACACAGGTCCTTATCCGGAGGTCTGCACCTTTTACCGTTTGTCTAGAAACGACCAAATTAGGGGTGTTGGTAGGTGTATTTATGCTAAGCTAAGCTTCATCGCTGTACTTACAGACACGAAAGTGGTAAAGATCATCTCTTTTGATTCACAGAAAGAAAACTGTGTGTGCATTTCCCACAGTGCACTTAGGGAACATGAACAGATGGTAGTTGACTTGTGTCTACACGTGATCTGTTATCATATTATCTTTCTGTGCTGGAATCACACCGAGATTTTATTTGAGCTATCCCGCTCAGTGTGACACGCAGCGAAACCGAATACGTGAATATATCCTTGATCGAAGTTGGCAGCAGTAACCCTATGACGTGGATTTAGATTTCTAGTTCACCTGTGTAGCAACAGTAGATTTTAAGCTAGTTTAGATCACTTTATAGTAGAGCTGGACAATAAAACTATAATGATGCGATATTAATAATATTTTAATAATTTCAATAACAATATAACAAGTGTTAAATAAATATTCTACAAATGTTTGTTTTATTCAGTAGAATCATGCATATTGAGATGTTTATTTTGGAAAAGGGACTGAAAAAAGCTTTTACTTAATTTTACTCGTGCATATTTGTTGACAAAGATTTTATCATAATTGTTTTGAATGTTCTGCCTCAGATTTGTGAAGTGATCCACTGCATCAAGTTTAAACCACAATTAACCATCAGGGTTCTTCAACTTTCACTCAGGAGCAACAATCAGCCTTTAAACTTTAAAGAAATAATGATACTTACCGTGATATTATCGATATTGAAAGGTATGAACCTTTACAAAACGGCCCTACTTTGTAGTCTTCTTTACACAAGTTTCTTCAACTTAACACCCAACTCTCCTCACCGGCGTTGGAAACATGTAGGAGAAAACGCAAGTCTGAGCTGACCAATCTCGCTGCTAATGTGGCATTTCCTCAGCAGCTGTGGGCCCGACTTGTAGGAGGCCATTAATGTAGGGGCCTTATTATGTGATGCATTTCCTGTTGAACCCAAGGTGCAAACTAAATGTTTTTTTAGTTAACGGAGAGCAAGGAGGCTTGATCTGGCGAGAAAGGCCGGGTTTTTGAAGGATTTCTACTGACTTCATTGTTGTGCCTGCCTCTGAGTTAAAGGGTCCATTTCACGGATGTTTCTGTGCCTCTCCACAGCCGTACGACAGCCTGCCCACCTCTCAGACCTGTTTCTTCCAGCTGCGTCTGCCTCCCTACTCCAGCCAGGCCGTCATGGCTGAGCGGCTGCGCTACGCCATCAACAACTGCCGCTCCATCGACATGGACAACTACATGCTCTCCCGTAACGTGGACAACGCAGAGGGCTCAGACACGGACTACTGATGCAGGCGTTTCCGCACATTACAGTCCCGGGAGCGACCGGGCACGGACCGTCTTATCTGAACGTCACACAAACCCAGAGATGCTTCGTCATCGATGCACCAGTTGTAGGGAACTCCTGAGCAGAAAGGCCACTTTTTAAATCCATTTTAATTTACTTTAAAACGGCACAGATTTTCATTTCTCCTTGTGGTTTATTAGCAGGTTTTTAAATTACACAAAAATCCACACGAGAAGTGCATTTAGTGTTAATTATTTTTCCCATTACTCCACATCCCATTTTCAGGGTTTCTGCATGGAGGTATGTTTATTTGTTTGGAGATGTGTATAGAATATTCAGGCAAGATGTTGGAGAATATTGTACATTGTGTAAAATGCTTCATTAGGAAAATGTTTTGCATAATATCCATATTTATTGTTTTCGTTGCCTATGCCGAGTTTCCCAAAGCATACGAAAAAAAACAAACAATAAATGCTGCATAACTGACCTGTTGTCTCTTTACTGAGGTTTGCTGTTTAAAACTGTTGGGGGGGGGGGGGAAGAAAGACAAACCTCCTGTCAGAAAGCAGACACCACATTTATTTCATAAGTACAAAATATCACAAAGGCCATCTGTTAGGGGGAGTAAATAAACGGTGGAAAAAAAAAAAACTATGTACATAAAAGAAAACCTCTCTACATCTCCAAGCTGTGAGTTCAAACTATCTGTTCTTGGCAAAAGAACTGTTGGTTAAAGGATAAGTTTGGATTGTACGGTCTTAATACTCGCATGTCATGTAGCTGTTAGGAATGTAAATCTTTCCAAAAATGTAATTCGAGACAGAATGAGAACAAACGCAAAACATCCAAGCAGCTTCGATCTGTCTACACAGGGGGCGTTCAGGCACAGTATTGAGCGTAGGTCACCTGTGTTTTGGCAGCGCTCAGTCATACACACAATCACTGCGGTAAAACTGAAGAAAAAAAAAATCTCTTTTGGTCACGGTAACAAGCCGTTACGCAGCCTGTGTGGACAGAAGGACTGTGAGACTGAAACACTGACTGTGGAGACGCCTTAAAGCTGAATTCTTTCCAATTAATTTGCAACCCACAACACGTAATTCTGAAGTGGTTTAACTACAGCGGACACCAATTTGTCGTTGCTGCAATTTTACGGCTTAAGTCAGCAAACTTTCACCACAATTTTTTTTAAAATGCTTCCACACACTTACTTCTCGGATGCTTTGGTGTCATGACTGTCTTAAAAGGACAGAGGATTTTAGGAACCAGCAGATCCAATATTTACTTTTCCCACATTTTAACAGAAGTTAGATTTTGGAATAATGGGGTACAAGTTCTGTGCAGCTTCAGCTAAAGCTAACGTGAAGCTTCAGCAGTCTTGAGTAAGCCAAACCAGCGTGGGATTCTTCCACGCTGGTTTGCTCTGCTGAGCTGCAGCGGAGGGATACTTCCTGGCAGCCACATGGAGATAATCTGCTGAAGACTGGAGCTGTATTGCCCAGTCTCTTCTATCACTTTCTGGCAAGTGAAACAGCCTACTGCATTTTATGGGTTGTATTGGCCATTTTAAAAGGTATTTCAAGAGGTAAAAAAGTACTAGGTGAGCTATAATCTGTCAAATATAACTCTTCTGAATGAAATCAACTAATTTCAGTGCAGAACAATAACAAAAGGCTTCAATCATTTTCTGTCAAGTGAAATACTGCATTTTATGAGTTGTATTGGCCATTTAAAGGTATTTTAACAGGTAAAAAAAAAAAAAAAAGAGTGGATTGGTTGGTAGGCCAACACAGCAAGTAAAATAATGCAGAGCCATAAGGATAATTACAAAATGGTCTTCATTTTATATCTAAGTTGGCAGTAAGTCATGTTAATAAACAAAGATATTACACACAGGCCTACCAAACATCAGTTTTCTGCGGACGATCACTTTTCGGCACGACACCGGGACAAAACACCAGCAATAAACCTTCACATGACTGCCAGGACGAAGATTCCCACTGGAGTTGCACTGCTTGTATCAGCTTCAGCTGAACTTAAGAATAAATTCCTGCACAGAACGAGGACTCATTACCAAGTCTGCCTTCCACCACCTCGAAAACATCTCCAGAGTTCGGCCGTCACTCTCCGACTCGCTCGTGTCACCTCTGCCCTGCCTTCATCACCTCCTGCTTGGACTACTGCAACGGTGTCCCGTCTGTGGTGGCCAGCAAGGTCCTGGACAGGCTGCAACGTGTCCAGAACTCTGCTCACTCTCACTAGGCCGTGGCAGCACATCACACCAATCCTCATTCAACTTCACTGGCTCCACCTACAAAACCCTCCTCACCTTAAGTCTCTCCATGCCACTGCCCCCCCAGTACCTACTGGACCCCCTCCCCGGCCCCTCGGGAACTCCATCCCCATAGAGATCTGAAACCTCTCTGGACACTTTGAAAAATCTACTAAAAACCCAGCTCTTTACCAAGGCATTCAATCCAGAATGGCCTTTTGTTGTTTGTTGTCTCTGTAGTTATGTGTAAAGCATCCTAGGGTCCTGTGAAAGGCGCTATAAAAATATAAGCTTATTATTATTATTAAAAACAGCTACGCTCTCAAAGTACACGTGAGTACTGCGATTTACTCCAAACACAGCTTTTAAATTCTAAATTTCCTCTGGGGTCCCTGTGATTGTTCTTTCACAACAATATTAAAATGTAAATGTTAGCAGGCAGTCGCCACTGCAGACCAAATATATTTAGTGTTTCTGGAAGTTCACCAGCCTGAAAGTCTCACATTGTTCTCTGCGGATCAAGGAAAAACAGTTGATAAAACCTTCTGAAACACCCAAGTAGCGCCGAGCACAAATTCAATTTATCCTTCAGTGAGTGTTTATATCATGAAATATTTTCATATTTGAAAAATATTCTTGATAACTGTGATACTGATTTTTGCCCTGAAGCTACAAGGGAGGCTGCTTTTCTCAGCTCCTGTAAAAGTCTGAAGTTGTGGAGATTTGCCGTGCAGGTCGTCTGTGTTGTGGTGTCAGCATGAGGTAGAGGAATCATTAAAAACAAAAAGAGAAGCAGATCACAAGTGCTCAGGTATGAAAATCAGAAGTCTCCACAACAAATGTCGTGCGCGTTCATTCATCTTTTGATCCATAAATAGAGTTCGTGTGTTCAGAAGAGCTCACGTGTTCACTCCTGTCTTGTGGCGAGGAAATAGATCTCAGTAACGATCTCCTCTGCCAACTTCTGCTTAACCTTTAAACTCATTAGAAGATGAAATCCATCCAACTCAAACAAATGTCAAGGGCCGTTTGCTCGCACAGTTAATCCGCCTGTACAGCGTCCTAAAAGTCAGCTGTCATCAAAACAACCGTCAGATCTGTGCAGTCGTTTTATCCAAGGCCCCCGTCTTTTATTTTTCCACTCGTCCTTGAAAACCTGGAATCTGAGTGAACTGCACGTCAGCTGTAGATTTAAAAAGAAAGATGTAGAAGACTTTGAAACATGCTTTTTTTTTTTTTTTTTTTTTTTTAAGGCCTTTTAGTATCTTCAGGCTCTGTGGAAGCCACGTGGGGCCTGAATGATGAGATCCTGTCCCACCCGGATCTGATCGTGAAGCGTCCTCCCTAAACTTCTCCGCTGGCGGCTACGACAACCAGCCTCCATCTCCCACAGTCCTGGGAGCGATGATGCTCTCTTTCGCCTGCAGGAGTCTCACCAGACACGGCGAGCTGATCTTGAAGGGCAGCGGCCCCCGGCTGAGACGAGGGTCAGCTCCGAGGCGGCGCAGGGGTCCCTTTGGTCGGTCGGTGCTGGAGGAGACCGTGTTGTCCTGGGTCACTTCCTGGCCGCAGCATGCGGGCAGAGGGGAGGCGGAGGGCTGGCCGAGCGTTGATTCGGGCATCTTCAGGGAGCAGATGGGCGACGTGTGAAGCCATTTGAGGCGGGTGGAGGAGTGACAGGATGCGAGAGGCGGCTCCAGAGAGGATGGAGGAGGGGAGGCGGTGTCGAGATGCTGCTGGAGAGAAAACGTGTCAGTATCACAACACTTTCTTATTTACTGATAAGCCATTTGCAGTAAGCTGTAGGTGAACACCGGAGAGCAAGTGTCCAAAAAAACTTCATGAATTAACACAGAACTTCTAAAACAGCAGCAAAACCAGCAGAAAGGTGATAAAGTGCTTTTACTAAAAATGCGTCATTGAGATTTTCACACCAGTTGGGGCCGATTTCATCGACCGAGGCGCTTGACAAATACAGGTAGAAACCAACGTGTGGACGAGATTCACATGTCAGAGGACAAGATGCGCTTTGACAGCAGAAAAATAAATAAAGTGATAGCGGCTGGCGCTGAAATAGATCTCAGGTCATGACAGCAACAGTTACTCACATGAGCACTTCCTCTTAAGTGATAGTGCCTACAAAATAAAAGCGCGAGAACATTTATTTATTTTTTTTGGAGCAATGCTTTACGTTGAGTTTATTGAGAGCTTTTACTTTGAGCAAACGTGTGATCGGATTCCCCTGAATTTCCTCAGGGAAATGAAAATAAGCGTCCATAGGTTTATGAATGCGGATCAAACGCCGGGACGCGCGCACACTGCAGCACACGCTTTATTGTGAGCATGTGCAGAAGTGTCCTTATAATCAATTTGTTTAACAAGGGAGGGAAAAAAAAGTTGTTGTGATCGATCTTACAACCCTCCCGCATTCAACTAAACCTGCACTCACTATGCAAGGGTTTGAAATAATTTGACTGTAACGGCTTGAAGAAGATTTGGCCCGATGCCAGACTTATTTGCCGACCCCTGCGCTAGACGGTTTCGTTTTGTCAGATAATCAAATGATAAAAACTACAAGAACTCTGTGATGAAGGCTGCAGCTTTCGCATTAATCTCAACAAAAGGTTTATTTTAAATTCTGTCCCTCCTGTGTTCAAACACAGGCGACTGTCCCAGATTCCACATTGCAAACTAACTCAAACTGGTTTAGAGTCTGTAATGTGTTCACACTGGTTCTTTTAGAGTGTGATGTTTTAGGACCCTACTGTCCCATAATGCATTGCACAAAGGAAATGGGGGGGAGCTGCTGTTAAAACTAATTGATGGAGGTGAATCTGCTCCAGGAAAATAACCAGAAGATATAAAACTAAAAACAAACAAAAAACCTTCAGGAGTTTGATTGATGCCCCACTAGTACAAAACACTAAAGTATTAAACTAAACTAGTACTAAACTTTAATTTTTGGTACATAACACACACACACACACATTACTAAAGCTGCAACTCTACTGACTGCTGCAGTAAATACAGAAAAGTCACAGTCTTTGGTTTGCAGCCTTCTTGGGTTGCAACAGGATATCTTTAAAAAAAAAAAAAAAACATATGAATTGATTCAGGACTTGGTCCAAGAACAATTTGTTTATTTTTGGGGATGATCTGAGACCATCAGGTCATGTTTAGCTAAAACTTTAAAAGTGAGAAAAGCAGAAATCTGACTCTCTGTTTGGTTTGCAGACGTTCTGTGAATCCGTCTCGGTTAAATGTGTTTTGGTGGATTTATTCATTGGGGAATCTGCGCATTCTTGTGTGCGAGGCCGCTCTGGTTTTCCCCTCATCATGTGACCTCTACTCTTCTTATGAAACGGAGCCTGTTGGAAATCATCGCCAGTAAAAATACATTAATACCTCCACTGTCCTCGTCCAGGACCCTGTTACATAACCTGCGTCTCACCGTCAGAGACCTGAGGTGGCCCGTAACCAGTAGATTAACTCAAGTGTTTTTATCTTAGGGCTGCAACTAATGACTATTTTCATTATTGATTGATCAGATTATTATTTTAATTAATCATCTATAACTTGTCTGCAAAAGTCCCTTTTTCCAAAACTCAAAAGAGGCTCATAGAAGAGAAAGAATACAGGAAATTATTCACATTTAAGAAGCTGGAACCAGTGACTTTTTGTGCTCCAATGATTAATCCATGCTGCTCTATCATTTTTAACATATTTACCTTTAGCTTCTTAGCCGGAGTGCCGTCGTCTGTGCAGGTCAGACCTGGTTTGATCCGAGGGAACCAGCTCTGGAGCATTTCCTCTATTTTCAGTAGGATGCTGAGGAAGCGTCCCCTACAGGAGAGAGAAACAACTGTTACGCTGTTCCTACCAGTGGTGGAATACAGACTGATCTACAGGTGGAGGTGAATGCAGGATTTAAGATACTTAAATCGGCTTTACAGTTGTTTTTTTGAGAAAGGAAATGCATTTAACACCATCGTTAGACCTCAAGGAGACTCACAAAGCAGTAACACTGAATGTTCCCTTTCTGGAAACTCCGCAGGAAATCTTAAAGTTAAAGTAGCAATGCTTGAGATGCACGATAATATCAGCACCTTGTCAGTAATGGCCGATAAAGGCATTATAATGAAATATCGTATCGACCCAAGTTTAACATTTCAGTCGATAAAATGACGTCTGCGGTTTGGAGATTGTCCAAAACTAAGCAAAGCTTTTTGCAATGACTGTTCAACATCAGCCAAATTGCATCCCTTCAACACTACAACTTTATTTTCCCCTTCATCCCGATTATTACGACACATTTGTGAAGAACAAAGAGAAACAGGCATCGGCAAAATACACGGTCCGCAGTAGTTAACTTATTTTGCCTCGTTTGACATTTTGATTTCATGTCTTCATCTGCCAGTTCCACCATCACGATAATAATATGTTAAGAGAGACTTGATGTCCTCTGCAAGGCGGGAAGAAATGCGTATTTTTATACATATAAAAATCGATAATATCAGATAACAGTAAAAATCAAATATCGTGCATCCCCAAGTAAAACCACAATGTAAAAATACTCCGTCCTGTAAAGTAAAATAACAGAAGAAAAAAGAACCTTTTACTGGTGTAGCTGGTTGAGGTGGAGCTACTTTTAACTTCTCTCTACACTGTTTGGAAGTTTCTCATGAATAACATTTTGTAAACAATTACATCCTGAAAACTTTATTTTCCTAAAACAAAATAAAAAACATCTGTGAGATTAAAGAGCTGTGTTCAATTTCATTTTGTTTAGAAGAAGTCTTAGAGGAGGTTTCTGAAAAACAATCGTGTTAAATCCAACTTGTCTGCACTGATGACGTCTCACTGTACTGTGTAGAAGAAAAACAGACTTCGGTTCTCGGTGCTGGCCAAAAATTCCCCCGTGAGCAGCCGTTAACCTGAGCTTCTACGGCAATTGAACTTTTTATGCGGTGTTTAGGATTAAAATGACTTTACAATGATGTATATTGTATAAACTCCCTCCTGTTCTGCTGGACCACCAATATGTCAGGGTCATTGGCAAGACACAACTAAGTATTTGATCCCATTTTAATTGTTACTGTTTTACGACAAACTGCGACTTTCTTGACGGACAAAATTAACTTTTAAATTGACAAACATCATGTGTGTAATTCAGGGCTCAAGTTGTCTCATGCCGTTGACCCATCGGCCGGAGGTGAGCGACTTAGGCTCTCTATATAAACGTAACTTGGAGCTAAAACTTTCAGATAAATGTCGTGGAGTGAAAAGTACAATATTTGCTTTTTAAAATGTATAAATTATCTTAAAATAGTATCTCAAAATGGTACGATAGTTGAGTAAATGTACTTGAGTACAACAAAGTGATGAATGTTACTTCTTACAGTGCTGGAAAAAGTACTACAGCGAAGAAGTCCTGCAATGAAAATCTTACTTAAAAAGTACAAAAAGTAAAAGTACTCATTATGCAGAACAATTTGTTTATTACTGGATTATAATTAATGATGCATTAATGTGTTCATCACTTTATATATTGCTGGATAACTTGTCAATTTCCCTCCGGGGATACCTTTAACCATTATAATACTTTGATTTATTTGTTGTTGTTTATATTTTGTATCAATGAACGAAAATTGATGAAGAAACAAGCAACTAAAGCCGTCAGATAAACGCAGTGGAATAAAAAGTACAACGTTAGCCCCTGAAATGCAGTAGAGCACAAGTACAAAGTAGAATTAGATGGAAATACTGGAGGTTTTAAGTACCTCAAAATTGTACAGCACTTGAGTAAATGTACTTTAGTGTCTGACTGTGACATTTGAACAGCGGAGGAGTTTTTGAGCTGCAGATTACAGAGTCAGAGACGCCCTCAGATGGCTCAGGGACGTCTCGCCAATGGCTGTTACATAAGCCTTACAAAGCCGCTGCCAACACATCGGGGCAGCGCCCTGCCGGTATCTGATTGGAGGAGGACGAGGGGGGACGAGGGGAGGGGGGAGGGGGGGGGTGTTGGGCAGCTGATCCGGGAGTATCTGCATTCCTGCCCGTCTGTGTGATGCACACGGCCACATACGAGCGTCACATGACGTGTGCGCAGGAAGAGAAGTAGAGCATGTTCAGGTCCACATGAGAAATGTGACTGTGACACAAACACACACAGGCTGCAGCCCACACGTGGCGGCCCTCGTTCCATTCACGGGCTATAAATAGAGCAGTAAGCCCCGGAGCGGCCCGTCAAGGCCCCGCCCACCGCTCGCAGCCATGAGTTAGAGTTATAAAATGGACTTCAGCACACACACACACACACTCTGACATCACACCGTGCACAGTTATAAATCCCAGCTTCATCAAAGTTATACCACGACTGCAACTACTAGTTATTTGCATCATCGATTAACCTGCTAATTATTTTCACAATTAATCTATTAACCGTTTAGCTGTGGGGGAATGAAACGCTTACTCAAGTACTTGTTCTTAAGTACAAGTACCTCACATCTCTACTTGAGTATTTCCTTTTTTTAATCCAGCTTTATATATATTTGTACTGCATCACATCTCAGGAGGCAAATTGTACTTTTTTACATTTTTCTGACAGCTTTAGAAAAAAAGAAAATGAAAATTAGGCGCCTTTTCATCAACTGGTTTGAAGCCAGAATAAACCAGGCTGCGCAAAGGGTAGTTACACATGGCTGTAATTGATAAGTAGTGTATGTTGCACCGGAAACAAAACCAGTCACATGGAGCTGAGCACTGGAGGACCAAGCGACCGTTTCAACTGGGCAAGCTGTGATTGTTCTGTCAGGTAGTATTGGCCAATCAAGTACTCTGATGGTATCGGCATCACTTTAAGGGAACTGGTTTTGGTACTGGTATCGTTAAATTTTCTCCCAGCCTTAGTAATGACGTGTCAGTGTTGTGTTTACAGCTCGTTTCCCAACAAAGTGGCCAAAAAGATCAGTTAATGCAGGTTTAACGAGATTCTAACAAACTATTGTAGGAATTCATAGGAGAGATGAAAGTATTGGAAAAGTTATTTCATGGAACAGATTTGGACGCTTGAAATTTCTTTCGTTTTTGTTTCTGGAGCATACAGTGTGTTTTTGTGAGTATTTGTTTTGAAAAAAATATTTCTTTCCTTATTTTCTCTCTCTGAAATGTTTTTGTTTGCATAACGTTGTGTACCGTTTGCTTTTATCTGCTGTAAATCTCACTAAAATGCTGATATTTATGTCACAATATGTCTTATTGCTGTACCTTGCAAACATTCACGTTTCATCCCTCACACATTTACAGAAACTGAAAATCATTTCTATTTGTGCGAGTTGAAGAAAACCCTCCCTGAATGAACGCAGCAGATATTTCTCACTTTGTTGCTGTAAATACTTTCAGCTAACTTGAATATTTGTGGCCTCTTCACTGCCAACAGCGCCGCGTTTTGTCTCCTGTGAAACACCGGAGCCTAAAAACAAACATCCAATTTGTTCTGGTGGTGGATGGCTGGAATATTTTCCCCCACACCGCAGGACGTCTTGTGTGTTAAATCTGACATTATTGGGACAGATCTGAAGCCACCTACGCTGCAGCGCCCCATGTGTGGTCCAGCTCTGTGTTTAAACATAGATGTTCGTTTCACAGCTTTACTGCGTCGAACTAGAAGAAACTGTGGAAACGTTCAGGATCTTTTTGTTAGAAAGCCAAACTGGTCTGTCTCTTAGCCAGCAAAAGGAAACCGCTGACCTGCTGTCTGTTCTGTTTTATAGACGATTAAAAGGAAGATTCCAACGTTCACTCCCACTTTACACAGCTGAGGTAGAAGAAGAGGCCGATACCGATTTTAACATGGAGGATTTTATTCCCATACATCAGCCTGTGTTAATACACCCTCAGAAGCTTTATTTGCACGATATTATATATAATAAAATGAATAAGGGAAGACAGACCGGTTGCTCAACAACTGATCCTACAGTGAAATATAGAACAAAACTCCTTCATTCAATTGTTCATTTTAAATCTCTGAAAATGTTTTGGTGACGTAAACGTTGTTTTTAACTTTGGCAGTTTGCTGCTTACTTTTCTACCATTTAAAGGTTCAGTGTGTAAGATTTAGTGGCATCTAGCTACGGTGGCTGACACAGGACAAATGTTGTCATCTGAGACCGCAGAGAGTAGCCAGTCAAGGATGATGTTCTTTAGGTATATTTATTAATTATTCTGCAGCACAGTCCATTGTAAACTGCACATTAGATCAAGTTTTCAAAGGCATTTTACAACATTACTTCTCTCAGTGATTACGGACCCTCGCCAAAACTGCCCGCCAAAACTAATATTTGTCCCGCTGTCAGATTACGGTGCTTTGATAGCAGCAAAAAAATAAAAAAATAAAAAAATATATTGACAGCGGTGCTGAAATAGATCTCAGTCATGAGAGCAACAGTTACCCACATAATCACTTCCTCTTTAGTGGTTTTGCCTACAAAATAAAAGCGCAAGAAGCTTGTTTACTGTAATTATTTAGAGTTCAACTGAGCTTTTACTTGAAAAATTCTGACCGACATTAAAAGAGTCTGTAGCTGCTTGACACGCCTCTCTTTTAAATATCGCAAATCGAATCGTAATCGCAATATCTGGCAGAAAATTTGCAATCAGATTTTTTCTCCCCAAATCGTTCAGCCCTAATTATTACCGGTATTATTTTGAAAGTCGTTGCTCACTGGCTCTGAATGCACATGCAGTCACAGGACGGGGGGGGGGGGGGGGGGGGGGGGGGGTTGTTAATCAGCCTGCTAATCAGCCACCCAAACCAGCAGCGGAGGGAGGCTTCAGCAGCTGGACGCAGCGTGTGGGAGAAGCAGATAAACAAAAGCAAGACAAGCGATCAAACGCCACAGCGAAGCAGATGCATGCTGGTTAGTGTTAGTCACTCTGACACGGACACAGACCGTTCCTGCTGCTCCCTGATAAAAGACAAATGTTTCTGCTGGTACATGTTCAGAAATAAAAAACAAACAAGAAAACTGGACTGATGGTAACTGGTTTGCCCCGGCGGTGTTAAATAGCTTCGTTTTTATATTTGATTACATTCATGTTTAAATTGAGATTTACAAGAAATATTTTATAGCTACTGTGTAAAAGGGAATACTGCTGGTAAAAAGCACCTTATTTGTTTAAAGTTTAAAGTGTGCAAACCACATGTTATTTCACTTTTGTGCACATATCTGTACATTTAAATTAAAAGTGCGCTTGTACTTTAGAATTCAATATTGTGCGTAACTATGTGATAAATCGCGATGTGATTAAAAATTGTAATTGTTGCCCAGCAGTAATATTTAATAGATTTTATATTTCTCAAATGTATCTACAAGTAAAATTGTACTTCAACAGAGTCCTTTCGACCTCCACAGGAGCTCAAACTTCCAAATTATTCTCAGTGCTATTTGTTTTAATCTGCACGGAGATCCGCAGTGATGCAGTAAACTGCGTCTGCACAGTCCTGATAGACCGTACTGAGCTGTAAATCACAGAAAAGTGTATTAAATGACCTTCGAATGTTTCCTGTGATTGTCAGACAAACAAAACTCCTCCCGGCTGAAATGAGCCCTTAAAAGTGAGGATGGCGGTCAGCTGGAAACATTTGTGTATTCAGCCTGTTTGAACTCGTGGGGAGTCACGTCTGTGACGTTACTGGAGGTCGTTCAAAGGGCAGGAGGAATGTGTGACGCATGAAAAGATATATACGTTTGTGTATAATTTGTCTTTTCAACGACACAATCACATTAAAATGTAAAAACAAAATCAGCTCTTTGTTACATTCGGAGCTCATTAAACCCGTTTTGGACTCAACAGTCTGAGATTAACGTTTCATTTTGTTTTCCATGTGGTGCAGGCGGCTGGATAAACTTCTAATTAATCATTTAACATGTTCTGATGTTTAATGAAATACAACAACTTTGACAGAACAATAAAGACATGAAGATATTTTCCATTATCAAACATTATTGGAAAAGTTCTTGATTGGCTGCAACTATTTAAGATTTAAAGATACGTTCCCCTGACTTTATTACAAGTTCTCAAAGTTTCCTCGTGCTCACTGTTTTTAAAACATAAGACAACTGGTAGACAAATGGCAGTTGATTTGAATTACGGAGATACTTAAAATCTGCTAATGTCTTTATTTCTTCAACATTTAAAGGGATATATAGTTAAACACGGTGGTCCGACCACGGACTGTATAAAAGAAGAGGACACAGCCGCCGTGACGTCACCAGTTGGTTTGAGCCTTGAGTTTGGCATTTTGGCCGCCGTCATCTTAACTTTTTGCATCCAGGCAGGTGCATCTGTAATTCACGTTAACTGGGATTTTAATTGGGATGCTAATTTTGGCTAACGACAAACCGGCTTAAAACAAAACGTACTTAACGTGGAAAAAAACAAAAAAAAGTGGTGCTGGTTAAATGCACAACGAGGATACGAGTCGCCTCTCTCCTGATTGACAGATCAGCAAGTTGTCAATCAGCTTGTAGCCCCGCCCTGAAGCCTCCCCTGCTTCCTGGTCTCTGTTCCTCTAAATGGGACCATAATTTACTAAATGAACATCATGCTGTGTTGAAGAAGACTTGAAACTAGCGACTGAGACCATAAACTCATCAGCAAAGTGTTTACTGAGGGAATAAATCAGCTGACGAGTAGAAACATTTTCTCACAGACTTCTATACAATCACACTTTACACAGTTTAAGGCGCTTCCACGTTGGCTTCACTTTTCAGATCTGGAGTTTCCCCGCTTGGGTCTGACCTACTTCTGCCGTGCTTATTTTATTTACCATGTTGCTTTGCCAACGTGTTTGATAAACCAAATCTACCCCTCAGCGACAGCTCACCGCCTGTCGCCTGTCATTTTCTGTGGCCCAACAGGTTAATTGGGTCTCCAACCCAACGTTAGTGAAAACGTTGTTATTGATGAGATATGAAAGAATAAAACATACATTTTAGAAGAATGAGATGGATACACTTGTATGTACGTGATGCAGGGTTTTCTCCTCGGAAATGATTGTAAACAAACATTGTGACTGATTCAGTCGTTTTCTTTGATGATGATGGCGTAAATGTTTTTCCTTTAAGTCTTTCAGAAACTGGAGGTAAATATTTGTTTGATTTGGGGCAGGGCTGAACGATTAATCGTTTTCAAACCCTACTCACCAATCAGAGCGGGCACAGGGCGTGTACATTTTACAACAACAAACGAAACTGGAGGAAAACGTGGGATAATGGCGCCAGCCGAACAGACACAGGAAGCGGCTGTGCTGCAGTTTTATCCGGCATCAACTCACTCTGAAGTGTTTCAGCAGCGGAGTGTTTAGCCTACACGTTGTTAACATGGTGTTAATTTGTCATTTTGTGTGCTTCAACTTCGGATAACAGCTCTCTGCGAGCTCCCTGCAGGCTAACGTTACATATCTAAAAGGAGCATTTCAGAATAAGAGCGTTTTGCCTGTCTGAGTTTGCAGACTTGTTCAGATTTTGCTCATTTTTTCCCAGTTGTCCTTGATTTGTGTGCTTCCACTATGGTTAAGTAGCTACGTAGTTAAATTGTTTCTTGTTTATTGTTGACGTACAATCGGGAGTCTGCAAAGGGTGTCTTATTTTGAAAATCGACCGGATTCTCTCTGCCGTTCTGTGGCCGACTTCCTGTCCGGTTCATCTGCTCTGTGCTGCTTGACGCGGCTTCCATCAAAAATAGACTGGCAGTGAATATCGAACTTTAGCAAAACTTCAATAAATAAAAACGCAAATCGAATCGTAATCGCAATATCTGGCAGAAAAATCGCAATTAGATTTCTTCCGCAAATCGTTGAGCCCTAATTTGGGGCTGACGGATTTGTATTACTGGCTCCACCTGTTCAGTCCTATTACTGCTCCGCACATACTGCTGTTAAATTAGAGGCCTTAATGTCACCATTGACCAAAAAACACCGGTTTTTTTGAGAGGCATTTTTCATCCATCTTACCAAAACTATTTCATCTTAGAAACGAAATGAATTAATCAGCCCGCTAATGGTTGCTAATTGAACATGTGGTCAGTATTTCGGTATCTGATCAGGACAGAAAAGAAAAAGAAAAAAGATTCTAGCATGCTGTTGTTTCTACGCAGCAGATGTTGAAGCTGCTGAAGTATTTCTAAAAAAAAGAGAAGGTATTTACCCCATGTTTGGATTCTGAAGGACCCCCATTATTCTCTGGATGCGGTCCATTGCGACGCTCTCCTGGAAACTGCTGAGACCTGCAGGAGAACAAAACGAGAGAAATGTGCAGTGAGCACGAGGAGAGGAGGCACGTGGCTCTACGGCTCTGAATCTGACCACGTTTCCAATTATGATGCCTTGACGACGTTAAACCGCAACCAACTGCAGCTGGACTCACTTTATCAGAACATCATTAGAGTCAGTTTACTTCCGTGTACCGCTGGGGGATAACTGTTCTCCTTTGTTTTCCAGGACCGAAAGCTACATGCTGTTCTGAAAACTGATGCAAATATGTTGGGGGAAAGTTTTAAAACCTGAGTGGATGCGTCCAATATTGCCCAGTGGCCATTCGCGGTATTCCAGTACAAACTTCCCCACAAGACAGGAAACCTCAAACTGCAAACAAGTCCAATAATAACTCTAATATTTGATCCATTATCAGAAATGATTAGAAAGGTTTTATATTTCAGTGCTTGCTGATGGTGGGCAGAGTTTCCACTTAATTAAAATAAACTTAAAAACAGTCTAAAAATTGTTCCGACACAGTTTTAAAATGAACCGAAAATATTTTTACTCCTCTCATAACAACATTACAGGCCTCTAACATCGTGTTTTGCGACACTGCTGTAAGCTCGCACGCTCACACACCTTGGCATCCGACTCGAGACAATCACTTTTCTTTTGAGGACACAACATCGTTTGAGAGCGTGTGAAGTCAAGACTCCTCAACCGTCACTCCAACCGGGGTGGTGAGAAACTTGGCTCATGACCGATGACCAGCTGACCACGTCGCTGCCGTCTCTGCGTCGTGCCGCTTTGCTCTATACAACATCAGTAAAATCAGGCGCTTCCTCTCTCAGTTCGCCACCCAGCTTCTGGTACAGGCCATGGTTATCTCTCTCGCCTCGACTACTGCAATGCAGCTCTTCCAGCTTGTGCGGTGAAACCCTTACAAATGTTTCAGAACGCAGCAGCGCGTCTGGTTTTTCATCAGCCCAAAAGGACTCATGTCGCTCCATTACTCAGTGACCTCCACTGGCTCAATCAAATTCAAGTCACTGATGCTGCATACAGAGTGACTACTGGGTCTGCACCATCTACCTAAACTCCATAATACAAACTTACGTTCCTTCTCGGCCGCTACGCTCCTCTAACGAACGCCGCCTGGCTCTGCCGTCCCTTCACACAAAGCAATCCCAGTCCCTGTTCTCATCTGTGACCCCACGATGGTGGAACGAGCTACCACACGCCATCAGAGCAGGGGCGTCCCTCTCTAACTTCAAGAAGCTCTTGAAAACTCATCTCTTGAAAACTCATCTCTTGAAAACTCATCTCTTGAAAACTCATCTTTTCTGAGAACACTTCCTCTTATAACAACTCTAACTCCTAACCTCTAACATGCACTTCCTGTGCTCTTCTTCTTCTATCCCCTACAATGATCTTGTTTTGATTGCACTTTTTGTTAACTCTTACTTCCTTCCCTCGGTATTTACCCCATTGATGTGATTTGTACTGTGAGCTCTTACTAGTATGTATTGTCAGTTGCAGATCTGTAGTTGATGCTCTGTTGATGCTTGTATGTTCCTCAAATCTTAGTCGCTTTAGATAAAAGTTACTGCCAAATGAGTAAATGTAGTTTACCTTCATAGAGAACCAGAAAATATTCACGTTTAAGAAGCTGGAATCAGAGAATTCTTTAAAAAAAAAACTACTTAAACCGATAAATCAATAATGAAAATAGATTAAGATTAATTTAATAGTAATTTGGTCGCTGCAGCTCTAATCATCAGGTCATCTTTCCAATAGTTTGTTTTATACTTCACAAGTCTTAAAACTGACATTCAATGATAAATAATATCCAAATGATAAAACAGTTATTTCTCATGTAACAACTACAAGTAAATAAAGATTTACTACAAAAACCAAAGACTGTATTTTGAGGTAAACGTAGAAACAACAATATTTACTGATTAGAAATTGGTTAATTGAGCAGTACAGCTGCTGGCGAGCTGCAGACTCTTGGTCTTATTTATGACTTGATACTGCAGAGGTTTAATTTCAAAATATATCCATAGACTGAAGGTTGGATCGGGTTTTTTATATTATTGGAGGACATTTAATTGAGAAAATATTTTGGTCCCTTATGGGATACATGTTGCTTTGTGGTTTGAGAGCATCAATTCAAGCCTCCACAAAAACAAACTGGTGCCAGACTTCATTTCAACTGCACCGTTTGAACAGCCGTTCTTCAGCCCATATCTCGCCTGAATTGTGTGCACAATCGAGCGTCTTTGATCCAGGCTTTCATCTCTGAAGCAGTTGTAGTTTAAAAGGATGTTAAATGACTCGTGAGGCCTTTGATCCTTTTATTTTTTTGGTTCCATTGCTGTAATTTTCAATGTGCACTCTGCATCCCTGAGTCTTTTATCGTGGACATTCAGCTTGAATTATTTCTAAATGATGTATTTATTGAGAAAATAAGATTTTGTAATTGGGAATCAAAAAGGAATGCAACACTATAATTTAGTATAAACCGGCTTTCTAATGAATGCTGCATTTTAATATAGAGATATTTTATAACCAGAAAATTTATATTAAAAAGGGATTAGACACTTACGCTCAGAGTACCTGCCTGATCTCAGGCCCCGCAGGATGGACGACAGAGGCTGGATGTAGCACTGCAGCTCCATGCACTGTGGAACAGAAAACCAAGTTAGCATGAAAAGTGCTTTCTAATATCCACTTAAGTGAACCGTCGACAGCAGAGCGCTGCTTATTGCTTTCCTAAAACTGAACACAGGATTGTTACGTAATCACCCAGACAGTTAATTTAAGGAGTGTCTTGCGTGAGGCCTCGAGCCAACAGTGTGTATTGCTGCACATGATTCACAGCTTATCTGGATTTCTTCAATAGCTCATTTTGTTGAGGGCGTATTGATTTGCGGCTAAGTGACTGCCAACCCATTTAGAAAGCGCTCCCATTTGATGCCATTAGTTCTGTGTTAACACTGAAGGTAAAATGTCCACAGCCCCTTCAATAAGAGGCTGCCATTAACAGCTGATAGAAGCTAATGGAGAAACTGATAGCAATCGACCCCCCCCCCTCCACCGCCATGAAAACTGGCACTATCAGATCCTCTTACACTGTTTTCTATCACCGCCCTGCAGCTACTCACTTTTAGGGTGAACCCACTTTCCTTCTGCTTCTTACGTTTCTGTTACTGATTTCCAAGAATACATTTTTGACACCCGCCAGGCAGGCAGGAGCTCGTGGCCTTCAGCAGTGAGGAGCGATGGAAGATGTGAGAGCTTTCAGAATCGAGGAAAGTTGTGACCCTTTAGTCAAAGTGTGAATCATATTGTAGCTGCATTGCATTCTGGTAATATAACTGCTTCCTGTGCGAGACACTATATGGCCATAAGTACGTGGACACCCCTGTTCACATATTTTTGCATGCTCGGGGTGTCTAGATTGGCGCCTTCACTTTCAATCCACTGAAATGTTTATGCTACAGCGCACAATATACCGTTTCACCGACCTCATTGCAAGGTGCCCATTCGCTATACTCACAACGCAAGACGTGCAATGTCAAGCGATTCAAATGAACTCAAAAACGCCTCAACTGCCAAAAACTGATGAAACATAATTTACTCCAATTTTAAGGTTCTTTGATACACAAAGTTTGTTGCTAGTGAGTGACAGGCAGGCTCTGCATGCACATCGAACCACCAGCCACAAGACTGTTCTTGTTCAGTTTATCAAACAACCAAAGCAGGCCCAGGCAATGAGTGAGGAACTGGAGAAAACCACTGAAACAGTGGATTTGGTGGCAAAAAGAAAATCGACTACTGCAAAAAACTCTGGTGCGCTGGTGTGTAACTGCTGGATGGTTGGCAGTAAAAACAAAAAAGTCTTTATTTTTATTTCCCTGCAAAATCACCTCAATAATTCTAGGATGCTCAATAATTTTCTAATAGAGAAAATTAAGTCATGTATTTTTTCATATCGTAATAAATATTGCGGAAAAGAAAAATATTACAATGTCAGTTTTTTCCATTATCGCGCAACCTTACGTACAATAATATTTTAGACAATAGAGTGTTTCTACTAGGGCTGGGCGATACGGCCAAAAATGTTATCGCGATAAAAACATTTCCTATCATTCGATATCGATAATTATCACGATAAATGTTAAATAATCATTTCTTTCAAGTTTAAAGGCAGATTTTTGCTCCCGACTGAAAATTGAAGAAACCAGATGGTTTATTGTGTGGTTAAACTTTTCTTTATGGTCAGAATGGAACAAACACTTGATGCCAAACAGTGAATCACTTAACAAGTCTGAGGGAGAACATTCAAAACTATTGTGAGAAAAAACAACATGTGATTAGTAAATCTTTTTTCAGTCACTTTTCCTCAACAAAATGAATATTTTAATAGAAAAATTAAGTGCAAATTTGTTTGTGATTCAAATGAATTAAACCAAATATTTATTGACGATATTTTGAACATTTATTATATTGAGGAAAATTATATTGCGATAATTATCAGTACTGTTTTATTGCCCTGCCCTAGTTTCTAACTTTGGGGCAAGAGTCTGATCTTAAGTTCGAGTGCTACGGTGTCACTAGCTGGTTTCACACTCAACTCCCCACTTTAAAGTGTTTCAAGTAGAGCAACAGTGCGTTTTACTGTTCATTCATTAATTGTCTTATTTCCTCTTTTTAAGTAAAGCATCTGAAATACTTTTTCATCACTGGTAGTCAGGTCCCAAAATCTGGTGGAGCCTGTTAATAGCAACAGACTGATGCCCATGGACTGTCCACATACTTTTGGCCATGTAATGTAGCTAGAAAGCGGATACAGAAAGCAGCATTAACTCTTTGATCCTGGGAGATCGACACCAAAACCGATTTAGATCCCTGAAACATTTAACACATAATTCCATGTAACCTTCATGGCAGATATCTGATTTGAGCAGTTTCCTGCAGGAATAAGGTTAAATCACCAGAAGATTACGCCCCTCTGTGTTATCATGCGTACAAGCAGTATGACTTCACATGAGAAAACCTCTCACCTTCTGCGAGAACAGTTCGTTTTCAGTGTGTGCTCGAGGCTTTTCACAGAGTCCGTCCAAACCAGCGCAGTGTGCTCTCTTCCTGCTCGACTGATGCTTGGACTCCACAGAAAGCGTCTGCTGCGTATAAACACAGGTAAATCCCCAAACTGGACTGACTGCCGGGGCCTGCAGGGCGGCTGCGGAGCCAGCATCGACCCCACAGCAGTCGCTCCTGCTCCTCCTCCGGGTCGCTTCACGGTGGAAGCAGCTTGAAGGAGATTCCCTTAAAGAGGAAGAGGATGATGATGGTGATACCGGCGGCTCCTCCGTGAGCTGAGGACTTAATCTCTTTGGGCTGTCAAAGTCGTCCTCGTCGCTGGCGAGCCAGTCAATGGAGTAATCGGAGTCTGAGGTCGACATTGTGGAGTTAAACTCTCTCAGCCAGCAGAGAGCATCACAGACCTGCCGCACAGACAAACGGCACGTCAAAATGCTGTGATAGAGATATATTTTTAATGTGCGTGACCTTCTGGCTGCTCAGTCAGCAAGTCACAAAACTTTATTTTAATCTAGTGGAGACACCAAATATGTCCAGCTGGAACAAGCTGATGCAGAACATAAATTATACTGTCACAGGGTGGAATAAGCTGATTTTAACTACCTCAAAAGCCACTTAAGGGGAAATAAAAGGATGGGACATCAAACGTTTAAGGGGTTAAACAACATGCATTAAGAAGCTGCTGGCACACTGAGTCTCACTCAAAGTCATAATAAATATTTGGACAGTTAAACACATGGATCTAAATATAATGGGTCTCATTCATGACCTCTATCAGGAAACTGATAAGAGGACAAGCTGCATTCCTACGTTCCTGGTGGAGAGAGGATAGCTGTGTCTACTAGTACCGTGAAAGGTTTTAATAACAAATCAGTTCTTTAGGCTGACTCTGAACTCACTATCTTAAAATGTGAAAAAAGTAGTGCTGAAACCTTCAAACAGCGATTAATTGATTATCCAGATAAACGCAGACATATTTTCTTTAGATTCATGATCTCAAATGTCGTCAATTTCTCCTTTTTATATATATATATAAAAATTGTTTGTTTTCACACTGTTGGACCTCACTTTGATCTCCAGGCATCTTTCAAGATTTTACTGACATTTGTTTGGACTGAACTATGATAAATAATAAAAATAAATCGTCAGGTGATGAAAATGTTTTGCTGATTTTGTTGAACACCTTCAAAAAACAAATAAATGAAACAACATTTAGGGATTTAGTATTTCTCCAGCAGAATTACACTCCAGGCAGTCAGGCTAGAGATAACCATTACTTTCACTGTCAATTAATCTGCTGACTACCTGCTTAATTATTTTACCTTTAATGGATTAATCACATCTTTAAACACCTTGTTTTGTCCAACCAAAATCCAAAAGATGTTTCGTTTGCTAGGATCAAAAACCAGAAAGTGTGAAATCTGAGTAGTTTGTACCAGTGGATTATTTTTATTTATGCTTTAAGAAGAAAACTTGCTTAAAATGTTTGCAGGCTATAATTTAAATCATTAAGCATCTTTGTACAGTTAATAATTAAAATGTGTCAAAAAATAAAATAAAATAAAACCACCACTAGGATTAACAAGGTTCTTGAGTCTTTTGGTGGCTTGACAAAACAATCTGGAGTCATTTTGACCCATTTTTGATTTTTATTAAATCCCAGCCACAGGTCTGAACTAATGTTTAAATTCCCAGTTTCGCCAGTACACGAGGCTGAATCCTGCACACTGCAGCGCGGCTGGAGTGACTGAACGTACAGGCCAGTAGATTAAATAACGCTCCTCTGCCGCTTCTAAATGGGCAGGTCAACATTATGTAAGAAAAAGCATCCAAACACATGGACCTGTCAGTTCACACGCACAACGCACCGCTGATCCAAGTGACCAGGACAGATTTATACTAGTCTGCTGAAATGCACCAAGCACAGTATATTTAAATCAAGCAATAATAAATTAATTGCTGCGGGAACTTCGCCGCTACAAATGTAACCAGCAGAGGACATTTTCTTTTCCTCCTCCTCCTTTTTTTTTTTTTTTTTACAACCATAGAAATGAACCTGACCTGTATGTGCAGCACGCGGTGCAGCTCTGCGCAAACATCAACTCCAAAAATCCGGCTTTTAACGTCGCACAGCAGCGTCTCTCCTCATCGCAATCATACAAGCTTCTGAATCCAGGTGAGTTGTGAGGAGTGAAAACAGGACAGGCGGGTTGCGTGAGCAGCAGACCGTCACTTACCAGAAGTGAACCGTGCGTTTCCCGTCCGGCTCGATGAGTTGAGGACGAGCAGCAGCCGCGTGTGCGTGCGTGCGCGCGCGGCGTGTGTGTCTGGCGGACCGAGCTGGCTGATGACGAAGGGCTGAAACCATAAACCATGAAACCAGCAGACGCAGGAAGGAAGGCGCGCGGGCAGGAGTCCCATCCAGCCCGTGCAGCCTCTCCCCGGGCAACGTGTCCGAGAGGGGCGGGGCGCCGTGCAGCCTCTCCTCTCCGCCGGTCTGGAGCTCCTGCCCGACAAACCGCGCGCGCAGGACGCAGGTCTTGCAACACGCGGACATTAATGTGGAAAAATAAATAAAAGAGGGGAACACGCAAAAGTACGCACGTGATCAGGCGGTGACGAAACACCGTAGCGCGTCACCGCCTGTGTTCCTTCAATTAAGCGCTCCCATTGGATCAGAGCTGAGCTGAAGCACGTGACGAGCGAAAACGGCTAATTAATGCTGCGTTAAAGGACTTCCTGGAAGTTTATTATTAGAAGTGGGGAATACTTGTGACACAGGTAGAAGTCAAACATCATATTCACAGTAAAATAACACAAGTCTTCAGAACACTTAAAGCACTTTATATTTAAATTTTTCTATTTTGTACTTGCCAACTTTTTAATTATTTCTATTTCTTTAAAGGTCCAGTGTGTAAAATGTAGATCTATTGACAGAAATGCATTATACAAACTGTGTTTTCAGTGGTGTATAAAGAGCTTACATAATGAGCTGTTATGTTTTTATTCCTTCAGAATGAGACATTTCTATCAACATATACCGCGGGTCCCCTTACATGGGAGTCACCATGTTGCGCCGTCATGCTACAGGGCGCATTTGTCACAACGCTGAATACGTACAAAGAAGGAGGAAGAAAAAGAAGAATTAGGGCCTTTCCGAAACTAGACCCTCGCCACTTCCACTCTGTCATGGGGTGAATTCTGGTCGGAGTCGCCCTCACAGCCAAATCGAGCTCCCAAACCCGGGTAGGGTTTAAATACAGCGCCCAGCTTTCGGTGGAACTACCCTCTCCCCCCAGAGTGAATAGCATCTGACGTTAGGCTAATTAGCTAATGCTAATATGTTTATCAACGAGAACTGATGTTGAGCAAAATTGTGTTTTTTGCAATAATGAAACTGAAAGCATTTGTCATTCATTTTGTGTTTGTGTCTAATATTTCTTTAAGAGCATGACTTTAGATATTTATGAAAAAGAAATATATTCTTTTATGAAAAGACTGATATTCAATGTAAAGAAAAGCCTTTTCTTATATGAAAAATATTACATTTACAAATATTTCACTATAAATTAAACATTATATTGAAGCATTATATAGTCTGAAGAATTAAAAACAGTTAAAATGTGTTAAAAGTATTTTTCTTTACTGCCTTTGTGGCTTGTCACGTGATCAGGTAGTTTATGGAAGTAAAAGCTGGATTACGATCGAGCCGTTTCACTGCAGTGTTTTCTGTGGGAGATGGAAACTTTGGGCTTTTTCACTTTGCAAACCTATTTCAAGAGCAGAAAAATATTTATAACACAATAAAGGAAAGATAAAATAGTCAAAAAGCATAATATGACCTTTAAATTAAAAGCAAGTACATTTGATTTGTGACATGAAAGAATGTGTTTCGTATAAAACACGTTCATCCTGCTAAATAATCCTCATTAGGTGTTTCCTGTAGAAAATATACGGGGAGGTGACCGCTTGTAGGACTGAAGGCATTTTGGGGTGGGGTGGGGGGGCACCAGTACAATGACAACTCATCTGCCCACTGAGCAATTTTCATCCTGATGATTTGGCCCATTTCCTGCATGTGACTTCACTGCCAACTGTGTCACAACCCAAATGGTCTGCAATAAACGAGAGAGCTGGAGAGACGTTAAACTATCCAGTCAACACTATTAAATCATGGAGAACCCAATTAAGCTGCCTTGTACTGTGACTCACTGAGTAAACCAGGATAACGAAGGCCACATCACAAGCTTCATTTTTCATCATTTGGAATAAATGTTAGCATCGTCTAGACTTGACAAGCAAAACTAAGCTAAGTTTAAAACCCCAGGAGGGAAATTTAGCCTCTAGCAGCACCAGAGATGTAGACGGAAACAGGATACAAATAACATGATCAAAGTCAGAGCTATAATAATGTAATTAAAATAAAAGTACCTGAATTCAAACACCGTTTTAATTCCATGGCTTTGACTATTTGACTATAACTATGAGCCAAATGGGTAAATGTTTAACAATGTAAAACAAAAATTAGTGGCTCTTTAAAGGCCAATTTATACTTCTGCGTCAAATCTGTGCCATAGCCTGACGCACGCCTGCCCAAAAAATTAACAGCTTGTCGTGTCCAACCGCAAAAACTGTGATTGGTCGGCCAGGTAGCGTCGCATTTCCTCCTACGATTGTCTTTCTTCTTCTGCGTCGTACATACCATCCTGCAACGCCTGCTCTCGATTCTGCGTTTTAGTAATTCAGCTCCAATTTCAGCTCCAACTGCAACACGTTTCCAGTTTCGCCATTGTTTGTAGTAGCCTACACCAAAAACAACAACAACAACAACAACAGTGGCTAGAGCCAAAACAGTGGCAAAAAAACTCAACACAGTGGAACATAGAAACCCCGCCGCCACAAGTATAAATGCTCACAGGAGCGTGACTACGGGGGCCACGGCGTGGACTCAACAAAGAAGTATAAATTGACCTTAACAGAGACGGATAAAAATGTTTTTCCCAAATCGTTCTCATTCCCATGTCGTCGCATATGGACACATGGTCAGGACCCCTCAGCGCACTGGGGGAAGCCTGTAACATATGTAATACGTAACAGTAAAGTCTGATTTAGGAGGTGGTTGGAGTGGACTTTCACCCTGTAGACTGGTGTTTGTTTCCCCTGTGAAACAAAAAGTCAGCATTGAGTGTTTTTATTTCCCACGTAAGTTCCGCAAGTAACCGAACTTAACTTAAGTAAGTAACGTTATTTTAACCCAAACCATGATATTTTACTAAACCTAACCAAGTACTTTTGGTGCCTAAACCTTCTTTCCTAAAGTAATTTCTCTGGAGTTTAGAAAAGTTGTCCTTGAGCTAAATCACCTAGCTGTGATATAACATGATGTTCCCACATGGCAGCATTGATTTGTTTATCTCACAGTAACAAGCAAATACAAGACTGAATAAAGGTCACAACGAAGGAAACGTCCTGACAGCTTTAGCAACATGGTGACATGAATCTGATCCCTCAAGTTAACAGCACTTTGTGTAAAATCCACTGCTCTTTGGTGGCTTCCTGCCCCTCGCTTCACTATCTACACTCATTTTACTGCCCGGCACGCTGAGCCTATCAGTTTTCCACTACATAGCCTGCTCCTTTTGCCTGGCAATGACTTGCACTTCCACTCAGCTTAAGACCACTGAAACCACAATTGTTCAAGTGTGTCATATCCTGTTAGCGATAACATTATACTGGATAAGAAGAGAAGAAAGGAAATCTTGACCCATTTGCACATATTTTTTCAACAATGGCCCTTTACATTCAGCAATTCACTGAAGTTTAATAAACAATGGGTTCATTTAAATGTTTTTTGCAGAGAGGGGTTGGATTTTGAAGGTGGAGAATGTTCACTGAATGTTTTTAATCTTTTTACATCTGGTTTGCTACACATTTAATGCCAGGAGGAGTTTTTTTTTAACAAAAAAGTCAAAGGCTGTTTCCATTTGTTAGGTGCAGCTGAGTCACCTGATGAGTCAGAGAAAATACCCGGCCCTATGGATTTGTTACTTTCACTGTTATTCATAAAGCTGATTGCTGCAGGATGGTGGCGACGAGGATGATGGGACTCAGGGCTGGACTGGTAATCTGGCATGCCGGGAAAATGCCCGCTGGGCCGACGCACCTTTGGGGCCGGTGTAACATAAATAGCAGATAGGCAGGCTCATTTACACTGGGGATGCCGGGGACATGTATCCACCACTTTTTGAAAGCATTTGTTAAAATGCTTGCACCAAGAAATTTTAATTAACAAATAAAAATGCTATGAAAAAGGTTTATTTGCACAATAAGCACAATGTAAATATAGAAGAAAACTATGTTGTCCAAAAAAGTAACTTAAGCTAAAAACAATAATAAGCTACTGATTACTGCATTATATTCTATTATATATTTATATTCTGAATTTCCACCTGCCACCTGAGTTTTGTGCTTCCCCGGTGCAGAAAATATAGGAAATTAAGTGTTTAATGCTCAAAATCTTCTGGGGGACGACCCCCAGACTTCCCTATCAAATATTTCATCAATACATATTTTTTTTCTAAATAGTAGGCTAGTAGGCATATTAAAAGATATTCTTGTCTTGTAGTCATGGCCTCAATCTTGTGCAATGTTACGCCTCAAGTGTTTCGTCACACTCCTAATCTGAGCCCTTAAATGGAAGGATGGTGTATTGGTGAGGGGTGTCCGACTAATTTTGGTGGGCTGCCTTGGCCAAAAATGCCAGGGCCGATTTTTTGTCCCAGTCCAGCCCCGATGGGCCTGCATATTCCCACACGGTGAACTGATTCTGGATAGTTCGACCAACTCAGCTATATTGGTAGCAGAAAAATGCACTGTGTCATCTGTCCAGGAATTACAGAGGAAAAATAACTATTTGGCTAATCCTGGTGAATTTACAGTTCCGCAAGTAAATAAACAAAGAAACAAGTAAAAAATTAATTATTTATCCATCTTCATTACATTTATAAATTTCCTGTCGAAAGGCTAGCTAGCTTAACTGAAACAAGCACCGGCCTTTTCAGTTAGCAACCTATCTGTCACTTTTGTCATAAAACTGCACTACAGTGGGTCCATTTTTATCATCCATACACTGTATACTTTAGGTTGAATACACAGATACTGCTCACTGCTGAGGTGACACTGTGTAAACTACAACAGTAGCTAAGGCAATGTAGCTGGCAAGCTAATGCTAACAACAATTTCACCTGTAATATCGCACATCAATCACAATTCTGTTGAGTTTGCATGTGAAATACTGTTAAACGTGATGAATTAACTTGCAGACGTGCAGTTTGGGGATATTTTATATGTGAAATGTCAACTTTTAATTGTAAAATCTTTGAATTTCACATGTGCTTTGTTTGAAGCCAAAATGCTGAAAAATACTTTTGTGTTTCCATATGAGACATCTATCTATCTATCTCTACAAAATATAATTCAAAATCTATATTTCCAGATTAATTAAAAAGGTTCTAGCCTTCCCTGCCCATTTTTTGACACAGTGCAAAAGCCTCTGAAATAGAA